TCTTTTTTACTGTGAAGTGAACAGACTGATTTAATCCAGAGTGGAATAAAGGTTCCAACCACCGGGAGCAGGAACAAATCAAATGTAATGATAGAAACCTTAGTCAGTTAAATAACCTGCTGCTGTCATTCTGCACATCTCTGTTGCTATTTTCAAATATCCATTATTGTAAAAATGTCCATAGCTGCATATTGGTTATTTATTCCCCAGTTTTATATTGTTAAAACACTTTACAGAATTTTATTGTTTATATTTAAACTCTTCCCTATTATGTTATTCTTATACATTTTTCTAAGGTCCTCATTTGTGTGACCATTTTCAATAATCTTTCTGCTGCTGCAAATTTGCCCATTGTGGGACAATAAAGGGATTTTCTATTCTATTCTATAAAAGGGGTAGAAACATATAAGTAAATCTAAACAATGTATTAATAAAAAATATATCTGCAAAATCTCTAATATTCAACAACAAAAAATACGTAGTTAAGCATATTGTGCAAAACAGCAATAAAAAGATAAAAATCCTATCAGATTTATAGTCCCCACCCTGCAGATATATTAGAATCTGTCCTTAAATTACAGCCAAACTCATTTACACAGTAACAGATAAAAACCTTTAGATAAATCAAACATTACCGCCACATATCTGGCTCAGTAACCATTAAAACAACTATTTTCATTAATTTCAGACGGAACTATTCACAGACTGGATTATATTAAACTGAACCTCCAATTTTCACCACTGTTCGGCGCCAAGTAACCTTTCCTCTGATCACGGCTTGCTTGGTCTTGCAATGAATCCTGGGATATCCAAGGATACCGAGGATACATCGGACCCGTCCTTCAAATCGGGCAAAAAGAAGGACGCATTTTAAGGCCGCATGACGAGGACTCTTGGAATCCGACCAGACCTCGGCGCCACGCTATGACGTAATCGGCCTTCAAATCTGGCCTTCTAAGGATGCGTCCTAGGTTTTCGAACAGAGCCTTAGTCAAAGACTTTTACATTTAGATATCTGAGATTCATATTTAACTAGATGATAACTAATTATATTTCTACAAGTAGAAATATATTGTGAATATCAAGAATTCCTGTTCTGGATATCTGTCATATTCATTTTTGATATCTGAAATAGTAATTATTATGAATATCTGAAATTAGAGTTCATCCTCTTCAGAATTCATTTTTAGAAAGGAAGAATGTTATTTTAGATATCTGGATGTAAAAGCCCAATACACATGAATGGGAAACATGTCATTTGTACTAGGAAGAAATGCATTTCAGACATCTGAAATATATATTCAGTCAAGCTAATAAATGTCAAAAGGGCCACTTAAAATTTGTAAAGATTTCTAGGTGTTTGAAAGTTTATTCTTAGTAGTACAATTATATTTTTGGAATCCTGAAATTTAATTTTTGCTGACAAAAATGTAATCTAGGATATCTATATGTACAGGTCTGACTAGTGGGAATCTAGTTTTAAACAGAATCTTATTTCAGAGATCTACAAATAGAACAATGAGAGGACAGCGCTTGTAATAAATGTCAAAACGGCCTGCCATAGATCTACCAGGTCTATCATCCCTGCTGACATCAGACTCTACAATGTGACACTATCATGGCAATAACAATGCATAATGTTCAATTACTATTTATTACTCTGCGCAATAACCTGTTTCTTTATATTTGACACCCAGTGCAATAACTATATCTATATATATATAAATATCCATCTATATAAATACCCTGTATTATAATCCTGCCATAAAAAGCTGTCTACAATAATAGATGATAACTCTTGGGAAAACATATGTTCCAGAAGCCAGAAGGGAGTCGAGAGTCGACTGCGTAAAGAATTAGATTCTTCAGGACGTTGCTAAAAACTTTTGTTTCCAAGAACAATCCCAGCTACTGCTGTTGGAGGAACTGTTTGGTTGGTGGCCATATTCTTATACTGTGGGACTGCCAGGAAATACAAACATTTTGGAAAAATGGCAAAAAAGAAATGGAAAAAATGTTGGCAGTGGACCTTCATCTGGATCCTGTTATTTTTATTGGATGTGGTTCCTGATCACCTGTTTACCACAGAATAATGTTATGAATGACATATTCTGTTGCAAGAAAATATAACGACTAATTGAATGGATGACGGCCCAATTACAGCTAAAAGTGCCTGTATTTTTCAGAAGATGGACCCCAGTTATCACCATTTTAGTGCTGGATCGGGGCCCTGCCCGACACTACACGCACACACGGTGCAACACTAATAAATACTATCACAATGTATAATTATTATCATTACTACTATTATTATTATGGCATTTTATACGTCTAAAATACAATTTTCTAGAGTACAGACCCAGATATGTGCTTTATCCTTTACAGTACTGCTCTTGTCTCACAGATTAGACCTAATAATTAGGGATGCAGGATATAATCGGCCCCTATCGGTATCGGCCTTAAACTGAATATCGGACATCGGCCACCCCACCGATATTTAACCCGATATTTGATCAGCTTCTGAGTTTCTAAAGTCTAAAAAAAAATAAAAAATACTACTTCTTCTTCTTCCTCAAAAACTTCTTTTTTACAGACTTAAAAACTTCTAAAGACGAGGGAAAAAATATTGATCCATTAAAATATCCCAATATCTTCACATGCTGATATATTGCCATTTAAAAACACCATATCAATCTCTTTTACTAATGAAATATTGCTATATGTCATCGTTATGCTACGAAATCCCCCGAAAATTCACCAAATGTTGCCATATTTTTATATGTTGATATATTGACGCGGTATCGATCTATTTTACTAACAAAATCTCACAAGAATTTGCAAAATATCACGAGAGTTTGTAACAGAACGATGAAATTTCACCAGATTTTGAAAGTAAAATAGATCAATACCGCGTTTTTAAAAATCTATTTGATATCAGCATATGAAAATATATTTGAGTATATTATTTTTCAAAGTGTCAGAAATGGATAACAAAACTGCTATTTTCAATGACTACTTATTTTTGTCCAGCTTTAACATCGGTATCGATATCGGTTATCGGCTACATGAGTTTTAAAATATCGGATATCGGCCAAAATCCCAATATCGTGCATCACTACTAATTATTATTTTTATTATTATTAGTTTGTGTGTTTTTTCTCTTTATCTGGTTTTAACCCTGTTCCACTTTGTTATACTATTTGCCTGTTAATCTAAATTTAAGGCAATAAAGTAAAAAACAAAAAACAAATCTGTAATGTGTGGATGAACTGTATATACTGTAAATATACCATGCACCCTTTTATTCCTTTGGCACCTTCTTCTTCTTCTTCTTAGGCTATTTCAGCTGATGGAACGAGTACATTTCTCCACTGTGAGAACAATAAGGTCAATCGATCAATCAAAACATGTTTTTAGATGTTAGAGAAGGTGCATTTCTCTCCATTAACATGTTATTGTTTATGGGGAAAAACATCTAACAGAAAGAGTTAAGTTCATAAAGGAAATAAAAATCATCTACAATGGATGCTTGTAGCGACAGTGGAGAGGAAAAACTCCCTTTGAACAGGAAGAAACATCCAGCAGAACCAGGCTCAGTGTGAGCGGCCATCTGCTGAGGCCCACTGGGGTTCAAGGAGACAGAAGCAGACATAGAAAAAGAAGCATAGATACAAAAGGCAACTGTCAACCAGCTCCACAGGCGGCCCCGTCCAGGAAACACACAGCCAGGCAGACGAGCTCCGAGCCAGCTCCCATGTCAGAGGATGAAGAGAGCACATCCAGTTAGTCACAGTCAGAGAAACAGGACTACACTGGAAAACAGGCCAAGCTCCAACATCTAGAAACAAAGGTGTTGATGGCAGCAGCACAGCTGATATTTCTCTCCAGGATGGACTCACAGCCAAACAGGAACAGACCAGATGAAGCTACTATGAGAAAAAGCAGAGAGAGCAGAACGTTAGAGATTGAACTAACAGATTCTGCAGAGTGGGAGAATAGAGATAGAATGAAGCAGAATGATGAAAAAGGGGTCCCTATGTCCTCCAGCAGTCTAAGCCTATAGCAGCAGAACTATAGAGATAGCTCAGGATAACCTGAGCCACTCTTACTAGAAGCTTTATCAAAAAGGAAAGTTTTAACTACTTTTAGAAATTATAGGAACCACTATAAACCTGCAGACTGAGAGCAGAGTGCTCTGTTATTGGGAATGAGTTGGCTGATAGGTTTGCTAAGAACAAACCTATCAGCCATATTGTTGATTTAAATATTAAAATAAGTAAAAATGAGATAAAGAATATTAGTAAAATGCTAATCAAGAAGAAATGGCAATAAAAGTGGGATGAAAGAGGGGATTCTAGGTTTCATTACAGTATTCAAAAAAGGTTGGACATTTAAGGAAATTATTGGAATTAAAAATAAGATATGTCTAGAATAAGATTTGGACATACAGGATTAAATAGTACTCTTAAAATAATTAATAAGCACAGTACAGTGTGTGTTAATTATTGTGGAAAATTAGAAACAGTACAGCATGTTTTTTTTTTTTTAAGAATGTAATAAATATGCTCAGGAAAGAGAGATGTTACGTAGAAAGTTAGGTAGGAACAAAAATAAATGAGATATAAAGGAATAGTTTCAGAAATCCTCTGGGGAAGCAGGTTTTAGGAGAGAATGGGCCTTATAGGGAGAATATAATAGTTTAATGTGTGATTCATCCTCCAATCCGGGAGGTGGCGGTAATGCTCCTATAAGTAGTTTGTCAACCGCCATAAAAAAGCAAAGAAGAAGAAGAAGAAATTGAAGCAGAAGAAGAAGAAGTAATGATGCTGAGCTTTCGGTCGAATTAAAAAGGTAAATTAAAGAAGAAATTGGTTATTTTTAGAGTGAAACCCGTCGCGCTGAACAGCCTGTAGCTAACTGTGAGTTAGCGGCTAACTAAAGCTAAGCGCTACGTCATTTCCTCCCTCTGGATGCTAGCTTGTTTTAGCTCTGCTCCTAATAGCATCACAATATAATCCTGTTTCATTCTAGATTATTTTCTCCGTCCCTCCTCTTCATATATATAAACATGTTTAGATGAACGGGCCGGGAGGCTGTTTTTAATTTAAAGTATTTATTTTAGTTAAACTGAGCCGGATGCTCCTTTACTGGAGGCAGATTTATGATGCATGAAGCTAAAAACGCCACAGAGTTCTTCTTTAAGGTTGGAGATCCTATTCAGTCGCAAAATGTAACTCTAATTTAAGCTTTTTGGAAATATCTTTTATTTTTATTCTGTTTTGATAAAATTAGTGATGTTATAAATAGGTATTCCTTTGTTATTGATTACATGTCAAAAATGTTTTTGTTGTTGTTTCTTCCCACTGTCACCAGATGGCTTCTTATTGAATCCAATAGAATAGCATAGAATAGAATAGAAAATTCCTTTTATTGTCAATGAAAGGGAAAATTCTGGTGTTTACAGCAGCAGAAATGTTATAGAAATGGACCTTAGAAAAAATATAAGAATAACATAATAGAGAGAGTTAAAAGATAAACAATAAAATACTGTTAAGTGTTTTAACAATATAAAACTGTCCACCTGGAGAATAATAACCAATATGCAGCTATGGACAGTGATCATCAGAGATGTGCAAAATGACAGCAAAATGTTATTTAATTAACTGACTAAGGCAGAAACTGTGCAAAGTCGCACAGATTGTTAGCCTGATAAACCAGACTAAATGTGAGATTAAATGTGTAATTTAATCTGGCCTCGATTAATGAGACATCGGAAGATTGTTGATGAGAACAACCCGTTGTTTTTCAAACCATGTCTGTGCCTATTGGCCAACGCCCTGACCAATGAGAGCCACTGACTGTGATGCAGGAAGCGAGACAGGAAGCTGGTGGGGGAGTGGAAACAAACAGCGAATACGACCTTCTTAAAAAATGAACGAGCGTAGAGCCTCTTCCTGCTCACGTTTCCCCAAATCTAATCCTTTCAGAACTGATTCCAAAGCTGAGTCAAACCAGAACTGTTCAATAGTTGTTGCCATCTTCCTTGTTGTGCTTCTCCAGCGCTGCGCAGCTTTGTTGTCCCTCCCTCAAAACCCCGCCCACTTTACATCCAGAAATTCAAAACACATCTCTGTGTTGTGATTGGCCCGCCAGTTCTAGGGCCTGAGGCATTGATCGAGGCTAGACCAACTCGCAGGCAAAAATGATTTCGGCCGCTGGCAGGTGGGGCTAGTTTACTAGGGCTAACAGATTGGACCAAGTGGTTTGAATCTGAAAAGTGCTCAAAATGATTTTTATTGTATATTTCTATGTTTTTGGAGGGAGTTGTTCAGAAAAAGCAAACCCTCAGATGATGCTGGTGAAGATTCTCAGTCATCCAGGTCATAGTCATTTCAAAAAAGTTAAAAGAACAATCCACTGGACTTTGTTTCCAAGTTTGAAGACGTTTCCAGGCTTTAAACCTGGGTTTGAATGGAGACTAAGCCATTCTCAATCACATATCAAGGAGCTCATTTTGAGCCTGGATCCAGATTTATTGTTGATTCTGTTCATGGTGGAGAATCCTGCTTCACAGCAGCAGGTTGAGCCAAACATCCTCTAAATGTGCAGGGTCATCTTTGAGCACGCCATTTCACTTTTCTTTCACCAGTTCACCGCAGTTCTTCCAGCAGTCCACACTTTCTCTGCTCTCTTTTTCTCATGGTCTTCTCCTTCTTTCCCATCGCCCGGCTTGCCACAGGTTTGCCTGCTGTGTCTAAAAGTAGCAGCAGCAGCAACCCAGACTGACAGCTCATTGGCTCATTTGGATCACGTGCAGCCTGGAGCCGGACGCTCCCCAGGGCTTTACCGTATTAACAGGAGAAGAGGCGCAAGTGAAATTAAACTTCGTCATCAGACAAATTTATTCATTTATAAATGTTTTAAATCAGGTTGGGTTCAGATTAGCCAGCAGGTGGGTCTGGACCCGGACCGCGGTCCGCTAATCTGTGACCTCTGATATAAATCCTGGAACTCAACGCCATTTCCGACATTTTAAACTGAAAAAGCTTCCTGGATGGGAAATGAAACGTCTTCAAACTTGGAAACAAAGTCCAGTGATTGTTTAACTTTTTTGGAATGACCTTCAGATGTTTGTCGTCTTTCTGAACTGCAGAACCTGTAAGGACTTTAGGTCGCCGTTCTAAAGCAAGAAAAAACGCTCATCTACGAGTTTTGTTGTTAAAACGAAGATGTTTCTGAATTAAACCTGGAGATTAAAGGAATAGTACACCCAAAACATGATTAGCCTTCATTTTCTACTCACCCCCATGCTGAACAACACTCTGGAGTACTTTTTTGATATCTCAAATGCATCTGGAGATCTGGGAGGCTTCTTGCTGTCTGCTGACATTCAAATAATGGAGGTCTATGGCGCCCGAGGCAGAAAGGTCCATAAAAGTCCACAAAAAACGTGTCAATATTCCTCCATACTGCTCGTCCAATGTATTCCAAGTGTCCTGAGTGGGTAGCGTCCAGAATTTACTCGAAACGAAGTCATTTAGAATGTTTTTAGAGCATAAACAGTAGTGTATAGGATTTCCTGAAAGCGCGCACATGCGCGTTCACGACGCTACGGAAGCCGGCAGACCATGGGGGTGAGTAGAAAATGAAGGCTAATCATGTTTTGGGTGTACTATTCCTTTAAACCCATACTGGCCAAACTGGAACCAAACTGGGACTCAAAGGCGCATTCAACGGTTCATTCCTATTTGAACTCATATTTTTGGAGGGAAAAGGAAATGATGTTTGATGGCTGCCTTTGCTTTAACAGCTGAGGGAGGGGGCGGCGTTACCATGGCGGACCGGGAGGAGCGGCGCTTTGCTGAGGTTTCCAGGGACTCGGTCAAACTGATGGCGGAGAGCACCGGCGTGGATCTCGCTGACGATGTAGCTGCTCTCCTCGCTGAAGACGTGTGCTACCGCCTCAGGGAGGCGGCGCAGGTCAGAGCCGCGCCCATCGGCCGTTCGCCCCTCAGAATCGCAGCAAGCGGCTAACTTGGTGTTTTTCCCCAAACAGACCAGCTCTCAGTTTATGAGACACGCCAAGAGGAGGAAGCTGACTGTGGAGGACGTGAACAGAGCTCTGCGCTGGAGCAACGTGGAGGTGAGTCCTGCTCCGTCAGCTGCTTCTAGTGATGCTCCCGCCTCCTCTCAGCGTCCGTCTCTCTGCTCCCCCATCAGGCCGTCTGTGGTTACGGGGCGCAGGACGCCCTGCCCTTCCGCTCTGTCAAAGAGGGGGAGCTTTTCTTTGTGGACGATCGGGAGATTAACCTGATCGAGCTGGCGCTGGCCACCAACATCCCCAAAGGATGCGCGGAGACGATGGTGCGAGGTACGGTCCTTCATCAGACGGAGGACAGAAGCTCCACGCTGCTAAAAGACCTGTTTCCTGATTCTGTCTCCTCTGTCCTTCCAGTTAACGTGGCGTACCTCGATGGTAAGGGCAACGTAGAGCCTCAGGGGACAGGTAAGGCTCAGGAAACGCACCCATAGCAGGTTAAAGGACTTATTTCAAATAAAAGATGGTAAAGAAAGTGGGCGTGTCCTAAATTAGATGCTGCGTCCTTCGATTACGCCCCAATCCTTGACTCCGCTTCTTATTGGACGTTCTGAAGGATGCGTCCAGAGTTGTCTCCACATAGGTCCAACATTTCCCGTCATTCCTAAAGCCGATTGGTTTTAGCTCGGGCAGCAATGGAGGACAACACTGGACGAAACAGTGAATAAAAATATTAATACAAAATCCTTCTAGAACCAAAATCAGTTTTTAAAATGTTTTGAAATAGAATTCAGTTTTTTTAAACTATTAAAACCTCTTTAAACCATTTTAAAGCGTTTTAAACTAATAACTGAGAATGCATGAAAATTCCACCTGTAAAATATTTACCAATATAGATGTTAGACATCATTGGAAAGCTTAGATTCTCCACAATTCAACCATCAAGTTCAATTTATGGACACAGCGAGAACCAAAGCACAATAACCCAGATATAGCAGCATGTCAATATGTAAACATGACAGCTACATCCCTTTGAAGGCGTCCAGAAGCCGTTTTATAAATCCAATCTTCAATTGTTTATACTCCATTCATCCATAAAGGTCCACAGATTAATAATAATCCAGAATATTAGTGGTAAAAATATTCCATGATGAGAAAATCACCCATAATGTGCGGTTGTTGACATCAGAAAAGCTAGCTGGTCATAGCTAATGCTTAGCATCTTGCTAATATTTATTTTCTGAGTTGTTGAGTCCTTGAAAAGTCTTAAAAAGGCATTGAATTCTTCAAAATAAAACTAAGGCCTTAATTGGTATTAAAATGTCTGAAATCAGTCTTTCGTAGGTCTTAATTTTTAAAACATCATAAGTAGGATTATTTTTATCATGATTTATTTTTGTATTCTAAATAAAACGTTAAAATTTACTTTTTCTTTCATTTAAATAAAATAACGGCTCTCCATTATTGGTTCCGTCCCGATAGCGGAACCAATAAAGCGTTGTTGCTGCCGGGACGTTTGGGAGATGCACCATTAACTTTTTGTCTGGAAAATATGAGCAAGTGTAAATGTAACCAAATTGTCTCCAGCCAAGAGTTTCCTCCATGGCTAAAACCAGGGAACATACATGAGGCTCAGTGGATTTAGTGCAAGAAGTCATTCAAGCTCAGAACGATGGGAATTAAGGCAGTGGAGTCGCACATGCGAAGCACGAAACACAAAGTGTCTTGCCTACGAGAAAAAAGTGTCTACATCTCTTTATGATGCGATTTGGGTCAGATACAGTCACTGAAATCTCACTTCCGGTCACTTCCTATCAACCAATGACACGCCAAGTAGCACGATATTACGCCTCATAGAGTCCTGCTGTTATTGGTTGAGACAATAAGGGCTGTTTGGCTTTGTAGCCAATGAAATAAGGTTTAAAACAAGCCTTCGCATGGAGGCTTTATAAAAGGCGGACCCTGTTTTACCGGCTTGTGTGAGAGTGAAACACACAGTGTTAACACCGGTCCTCTTTTTCTTTTTTTTTTTCTAAGGCTAAAAAAAAATAAAATACAACTCAGAAAAGGCACTGAGGCCTATTTTAGCTTAAAAAGCAGCAGTTTCACTATCTTTTATATATTTTTATGTTATTTTATGCTTATAAACGTTACATTTTGTTATAAACACTGATTCTGAAAAAAGGGGAAAAATTCTTGCTTCATAAATGTTTTCCGGCCATTAAAATGCTTCAGTGTTATTCTATGGGTCAAATAATAAAGCAAAGCAAAGTAAAAGCATTTGGAGATTTTTGGAGA